TTTTTATTTTTTTTTTTATTTTGTTGTGGTGCAGCCGTTGATAATTACTTGTTTTGGTTTGTAATGATGTGTGTGTTTATAAATATATTTTTCTTGTAATTGGACAGCATGGGCCACGTCATCATAATGAAAGGCCGGCACTACTTTATTATGGGATTTTTAAACTTTATTTTTATATTGGGAATATTTCTTTTGTAGTATATTAGTGTGTTTCTTATTTCCATTTTTCTATGGTATATCATAGTACTTAGCAGGAGCTAACTCGTACTAGAAGATAGTTGGAGATTCGATTGGAGGTAGTTTGGACAAACCTGGCTTAGGTCGTTTGGGCAAGGGTCAGGTTCAAAGAGGTGCACACGAGCTAAAGAAGGTTGAAACCAAATCGTGCTGGGACTCCAGGATGGTTTGTTAGATGCTCGACCTGGACTTAAGATAGCTATGTAGCGAAAGGGCCAGAAGCATTAACCTAAAATACTATGTAAGTATGAAAAGCCGAAACGTGTGAGGAAAAGATTCTCGCGAATCTCTGAAGATCTTAATAGGATGTGGATGCTAGGTTAACAAGGTAACCTCTATAAATAGCTCGAGAACAAGTATGAAAACTAGAAGTCACAATATCAATTGCTACACCATAAATTCAACTGCTGAAAGAGGGGTTCTGACTCGAGTGTCGGATATTCTACGTCGGGATGCCCTCCAGCAGTATTGTTTTGCAAGTAATCAGAACGGTTGAAGGACAGTTCAGTCATCATTAGACTGTATGGAGGTGTTTCAATCATCATTAGTCTGTATGAAGGTGTTTACACACATCATGTCGTCGTTTTGTGGGAATAAAGTTTTTAAAAAAATAAAAATAAAAAGAATAAAGTCATCAAAACTAGCTATAATAAAGGATTGTACCAAAAAAAAAAAAAACTTAGAAACTGATTTTGTTGAAGCATGGGCTACAAATCGCTACTAGGGATGGGACCACCGTTAGAATTTTCTAGGTTGATCCTGACAACTGTTACCTCAGTTCTCAATTAGCAAGGGATTAGGACCACCCCAACATCAGCAGTCATGACCAACCCTTCAATCGGTCAGTTGGATGCAGGTGACGAAAGACGAATACGTGGCCTGAGCCGTTTCATCTCTAACGTAGCGGAAAGAATCTGCCATTTCTTCAAGGAATTAAATAAGAACTTGAGGATTGACTGGGACAAGATGTACCATAGGCTTATGATGAGCTGAAGGCGGTCTTGGTCATGCTACCTCTCTTAGAAAAACCTAAAAAAAAGTGAGAGTCTAGTGCTTTGCATATTATATCGGCTAGGCAGTCCTGAGCTCGGTCCTACTTTGGGAAGAAAAGGGGGTGCGGTTGCCCATATATTACGTAAGACAAATGATACAAGGTGAAGAAATGCGATACTCATGAGTGAAGAATAGAGCCTTGGTTGTAGTGGTAATTGTTATCATGTTGAGACCTTATTTCTCGATACACAAGGTTTATGCGAGAAATAACCTTCCTGTAAGAGAAATACTATGTACGACATCGGTATCAGGATGGATGGTGAAGTCGAGCTCAGTGAGTATTTCATCGAATACGAACCTCGAAGAGCCATTAAGATCAAGTTTTTGGTCGAGTTAATTTATACAAGAAAGAAGAAGAATTATAGAAGGGCAATGGCATGTCGACATTGATGAATCGGTCACAAGTGGAAGAGAAGGACTCAGGAGCATACTAATCTTCCCTACATGAGAAACTTAGATTACGCAACTAAGCTAGGGTTTTGAGCCTCCAACAACGAGGCCAAGCACGAGGCCCTATTGAAGTGGTTGTTGGTGGATGCATTAGGAAGAGTGTAGCATGTACAAGTGTATTCTGATTCAAAACTCCTGGTGGATCAGTTGAGGGGAGAATATAAAATAAATGGAGATAGGATAAAGAGGTATGTGCAATAGGTTAAGGACTTCTGTAAGAGCTTTAGCTCATTCGAGCTAGTGCAAATACTGTGAGGGGAAAATGGGCGAGATGATTTATTGTCGAAAATGGCACACAGTCTAGTGGATTATAAGAGTCGAGGTGTGACGTTGTTATATATGGGAAAAGGGTGGAGGCGAAGTCTTTGAGATAAATGAAGTAGAAGATTGAAGGACCCCTATCTTAAAAGAGATCCGAGAAGTTCCCCAGAACAGGAAGTGGGGAGTACGTCAATTAGTTCGATCTTTCGAACAAAATAGCATCTTGTATAAGTAACTCATAGGAAAGGTACTACAAACGATATATTTTTGTCCCTCTATTCATGTTGATACAACCAAGATCATGAATGATTGCTCGCAGTGCCAGAAACATGGACCAATCTCACGTGAACTGACTGACGAGATGACGATAATGAGCGCACCAATTCTCTTTGCACAATGGGGAATTGGCCAGGTGGTACAAAGCATTCAATGAACTCATTTTTGTTTATCGCTTTTTTTTTTCAGTTACAATTCTATATTTTTCTTATTTACTTTATAAAAATTTGATGACGTTCATAATCAATGTCAACATACTATTTTTTTTTTTTTTCTTTTTTAAAAGTTTGTAACAGTCTAGTTAAATGGTAGCATACTTAATAAATTTGCAACATAAATTCAACAACTGTTTCAGTTACAATTTTAAGCTAATTTAAGATAAACTATAGCAATAATACTAATTTAAGATACAAATTGCGATTATGATGAGTCCGCTCCTAGATCTGGATCAAGTCGGTCGTAATGAGCTCCGATTCACCTAAACCGCCACGAACACATGCAAGAACTCAACGTCAGAGGGGTTTCCGACGAAGAACCTCCGATGCTTAAGTCAGTCTCAAGGAGAGAGAGACGCCCTTCCAGAAAGAGCAATATGAAATGTATATAGAGTGTAAAAGTTGTGATATGATGATACCTCAGCCCCTTTTATAGGAGAAATTACTGCCCGGAGTGCCTTGCCTAAGTGCTCGCGGTCAGCCTGCCCGGCTGCCCGAATCTTTGGTGTTTATCCATATCCTAATCACTTCTTAGTCATATCCTAATCACCATAAGATTCTATTTTATCCTCTCAAGATTCGTCCTTATCCGTAAAATCTACTAAACACCGAAGTGAGGCTCTAGTCAGTATGAACCTCAAGTTGCGAGGTGTATGACGTCGTCCTCGAGAGGCAGGAGATCAACTGAAACCAGTAGAGAAGAATGAAGCCACTATCATAGAAGATCGCCACTTTACTAATTATCCCTATATCGCCTTCGAGTTTCGAGGCGAGTGAGGTCGACCTCGAGATGTGGGAGGTCGACTAGCATTCTTCATAGTGATAAGGGGAGTTGTTATCATCACCTTGCTTAGCTGTTCTCAGGCCATCTTCGAGGCCCTCGAGCTATTCGTCTTCGCCGATGACAAGCTATTTCTAAGGTTATATCCACCTTCCCGGTCATTATCTCGTAAGTCATTGTCAAGGCGTTTTAGTCATTATCATTCCTATGGCAGTCGTCTTAGACCGACATGCCCAACTCGAGCCGTCACGTCATAGCTCGACATAAAGCGTGGTCGAGCTATCACACTTCGTCTGGTTCACATTAATTTGGCTATATCAGATTACTAATAAGATACCTCAACCATTTTCGATTTGTTTGTATTTTGTAATGTTTACACCTTATAATTTCATACACGAAGTTCTATAATAATATAACACAATTTTATCTAATTTGTTGATCATAATAAGACAAGATTGTGAAAATTACATTATTGCAGTCAATAAAAATGCTTGTATAAGTAAAATAGTTTATACCTATATCGTTCATTTTTACTAATGATAAAAATTACAAAATGTGATAGATTCATTATCTAATTTATGATTTCTTATAATTTCATACACGAAGTTCTATAATAATATAGCACAATTTTATCTAATTAATTGATCATAATCAGAAGATTGCAAAAATTATATTATTGCACTCAATAAAAAAAAATGCATGTATAAGTAAAATAATTTATACCTATATCGTTCATCTTTACTAATGATAAAAATTATAAAATGTGATAGACTCATTATCTAATATATTATTTTAAATATTACAAACAAACATATAACCTATTAAATTTTATTTGCATTTGTACATGTGCAATTGTATTGTGCATATAATACTACTTTTTAATTATTGTCTACAATAACCACATGGGACACACCAATTTTCGGGCATCCAATTTTTTAGTCCATTATTTTCTATGTAAAGATTAAAGCATGGTTTTACGCTATAGCGCCGCTATAGCGGCTCAGATCAGCAAACGCCAAGCTATTGCTGGTTTTGCCGCTATTCGCGCTATTTGGCGCTATAGCGCCGCTATAGCGCCAAATAGCGCCGCTATAGCGCCAAATAGCGCCGCTATAGCG